ATCATCTGTGGAAGAGAAAATTAAGACATGTGAGAGATGTGTACGTAGAAAAGCGTTTCCTGAAAAAGCAGCTGAAATGATTAACATCAAGACTACCAGACCATTGGAGTTGGTCTGTATGGACTTCTTGTCTTTAGAGCCAGATCAGAGTAACACCAAAGATATATTAGTTATTACAGATCACTTCACCAAATATGCGGTGGCTGTGCCTACCAGAAACCAGAAGGCACAGACTGTGGCTAGATGTTTATGGGAAAACTTTCTAGTACATTATGGATTTCCGGAAAGACTGCACAGTGATCAAGGACGAGATTTTGAGTCAAGCCTCATCAAAGAGCTATGTCTCGTCGCAGGTATACACAAAGTGAGAACTACTCCTTACCACCCAAGAGGAAATCCAGTGGAGAGATTCAATAGGACCCTTCTCCAAATGTTGGGTACTCTTGAAAACAAAAAGAAGTCATGCTGGAAGGAGTTTGTCAAGCCTTTGGTGCATGCCTACAATTGCACTCGAAATGATGTAACAGGATACACTCCCTATGAACTTATGTTTGGTAGACAGCCCAGGCTGCCAGTCGACTTAGCCTTTGGGTTACCTGTGGATCGTTCTACCAAATCCCACTCTCAGTATGTAAAAGATCTGAAAGAAGGTTTAAGAGAGAGCTATGAAATTGCCATCAAAAACTCTGCAAAAGTAGCCCAACGTAACAAGCGCAGATTTGACAAACATGTGGTTGTTTCTACTCTTGATGTGGGAGATAAAGTCCTTGTGCGAAATTTGAGGCTAAGAGGAAAGAACAAACTGGCAGACAAATGGGAACCAGATGTCTATGTAGTTATCCGTAAAGCTGGAGATCTCCCAGTATATGTAGTCCAGCCTGACGGAAAGACCGGTCCAGTTCGAACTTTACACAGAGACTTACTTCGACCTTGTGGATATTTGTCTGAAAATGAAATTGAAGAAATGAGTCCTCCAAATGTTCAACGTAAGCCCAGAACCAGGTCTAGCTCTGCTTTAGAATTTGCTCCCAAAGAACATCAAATGAGTGATCAGTCAGAATCTGAGGATGACTCTCTATATATTAGAAATGCAGGACGCCAGTTGGAATCCATTACAACGACTGTGTTACCTTCATCACAAAGTCCAGTGCTTGTAAAGAACTTACCTGGCATGGAGCCCATTGAACCACTCCCTGTCGTAGTGAACCCTGAAAAAGAAACCTTACCTGATTCCAGATTAGAAGAAGACTTAACTGAGAATCAAAGAGATGATGTCAATGAGAATTTCTTACCTTTGCTGAACCCTGCTGATATTGACCCCAAAGAAATTGAACCTGAAAGAAGTGGAAATAGTGTTGAACTACAGATCCATAGAAGGGCGCTTGAATTAGATCCTGTTGATGTATCCCATTCTAATGATCAAAATCCTCATGTCAGAAATGTTTCAAGTAACCAGCCAATAGTGGGTGAAGACCTAGATACCAGTGGCCCTAGACGCTCAAAAAGGCAATGTAGACCTCTTAATAAGCTTGAGTATCATAAACTAGGAAATCCCTTGACCCTAGTCATTCAGTCCTTACTACAAGGTCTGAGTTCTGCCTTTACCACATCGTTAGAAGAACCCATACTCACTAGAGATCAGCCCTTTGTTGTGCCAGACCCTTTTCCAATTGCAGTGACAACCCAACCCCGTACATGCCCGAGGACGTGCCTGAATTCAGGGGGGGAATGTGTAACCCAGGTTACTAGTGGGTAGTATACAGCAATAGAGCAAATAGAAATATAAGGAAAAAAAACATTGGCAGAATACTCGATTAAATAATATACATTAAAATTATTTACTTATATAAATAATTTATAATAGAGTATTATACAGCATTCAAGGGAATAGTGCTTTAGAATGACATCATCGTGCCTTACACTATAGCAGCAGATCAGCTTTCCAAAAGATAACAAATCTCGCTTGTCTGTTAGCTTGTGTTTACCGTTGCTATGGTGATTCAGTGTTCGCAAGGGAAAGCAGAGATGTAAGTTGTTATATTAATAACAGTAATATAACTATTAGATTTACATCTTTTAATGTTTTAATGCGTATTAACTGTGAAAATTGACTATTAATAAGATGCTGACATGATTTCAATCATATATTTTTAATGAAGGATTGAGAGAGAAAAAAACAAGATTTGTCTCTGAGAGTGAAATCTGCACACGAGTGCCACCTGGAGTTTTCCTGTTTGTTTCATTTTGATTTTGAATGATTTCCTTGGTGAGTTCGTTTTTTTTTTATTATTATTATTGTTTTCATTATAACATGATTTAAACTAGTGTCGAAAAATGTGTTTTATTAATTAACCATTTGTTTGGTCTAGTAAAAAACACAAAGTATTATACAGAGTATTATACAAGTGATTGTGTAAAGTTTAAGTGAGAAAGTTTAAGTAAAATGCTGTCATTTGTAAAAAGAAAATGCCAAATAGGAGAGAAATAGGAAAAACACAGAAATTGAGCAGAGAGAAGCATATACATGGTTATTTACTGTTGCTGTTTATTTAGAAATGTGTTAAGCTGAGTTAATGCATACACTGTAAAATGCTAATTGTTTCTTTGGCCTTGTGTTTTCAAGGCCAGGTTTTTTTTTTTTTCTTTTCCTTGGTTTTGTTCGTTTGTGCATCTTCTTCTGATTTTTCATCGGTGAGATGTTCTATTGACGTCAGTTGCTGGATGTGATCTGCTCTGGATTCGAATTAATTGAAGTTTGAACTCTTTTCTGGATTTGGATTGTCTCAACTTCCATCGGCGTGTCTAATTGTGGAGTTGGACTGGCGAGCCTCCCATTGAGTGGATTCTTTGGATACACCTGTTGAAAAGATACAAAGTAAAACCTATTCAGCGTCATGGTAGGAGTGTAAAATTACAACACACTCACAAGTGCAACATCCTGGATCTCTGGAACTGAATTTGCAACCTAGTTGTTTTGCAAAAGAATCTTTTTGAAAGTTTATCACCTTTACTGGACTTTTGGAACATTTTGAAATGTTTTAAGTGAATGTTTTATTTTCATTTTTATTTTATTTGTACATTGTTCCTTTAGAGTGTTCATTCGTTGAAATTTTTGAATCTTTATAGAGAGAGGTTAACTGATTTAAGAAGGGAAATCTTGATTATATGTTAAATAATAATACAATTTTAATATTGTATTATTAACTTACACTTGCAAACCTTTAATATAGTACTGTTATTAGCATATTAATATTATATTATTGTTATAATAGTAACCAAAATATAATATTAGCCTTAACAATAGAAAAACAGAAAAACAACAATATTAACTTACCTTATTAGTGATATAGCCTGTGAAGAAAGAGAAGTGTTATTAGAGAGTGTAAATAAGATTGAGGTCATTAGATAAGTGTGAAAAAATCTAGAATTTGTTTTATTTATTTTTATTTATTTTTATATATATTTCAGTGAACATTTTACAATACAATCTTTTATTATTCTTACCTCTGTGTCCGAGTCCTTCACTGTTGTTGTATCTTCTCTCTCTTTGGAGGAATTTAGACTTCTGAGCATCTGGTCCATTGATTAAATCTTATAATACATTTGTGTACCGAGGGTTACACTAGCAACAATTAGCAATGCATGATTATATGGTGTCATGGCTTTGCAATTAAAAAAAAATAATTATAATGGAAGTCAATGGGGCAAAAACAGCCATGAACATAATGAAAGGGAAGTAAATTGGCCCAGAGTGTATTGTTGAATATTTAAAAAAAAACATTTTAACCCATTTTCTTAAAAGATATCTGTCAAAATAAGATTTGTCACCAAATTTCATTCTATTTGCTGAAGCAAAGAGAAAGTTGTGGCCAAATTAAAACTCAAAATCACTCAAAAGTGGATGAAAACATCCCGAACAACACATCAATGTTAGGTTTGAAATATTAAAATAATATTAAAAGCAAGTCTTTCTTCAAGCCTTACAGCATAACAATTTTTCAAGGATCAAGAGACACTGAAAACTGAATAATGACGCTGAAAAATCTGCTATGCCATAACATAAAACTGTGTAAAATCTGCTTTTTAAAATTCCAATACTTTTTCTGCATTTTTAAAAATGCACTCACACTTGATGAACAAAAGAGGCTTTCAAATAAACCTAACAACTCCATGAAAAGAGTCAAATTGAGTTCATGTGTAAAAATTCTGTTCTTAAATATAGGACATTTCTGATTTGCTCATAGCTCATTCTTTCATGGTACTGATTAATCAGGCTTTAAATAAGAATTTCAGTAAACAAAAGATCCAGTCATGTCTGCCTTTGGTGTGAAATCGTTCCGGGAAGTGACATGTCCTGCGGTGAAGCATGCTATACTTTATCTACAGTATATTAACCAGCATTTGATTTTTTTTTAAACCATCATACATGCAATTCGAGTTTTACGGTCCTTATAACTTTTAACTGTATTGAATATCTGTACTTGATCATATAAATGTGTCCCAGTAAACATGCACTTTATATACATTACAATCTAAAAACAAATCCATCTTATGTTATACTTTAACATCATTTTCTGTGCGCTTCAACCTCAAAGCCTCGAGGCCTGCAAACTATAAAAGCTTGTTCTGTGTATTTAGCCAAAACCAGGCCATGGACGTCATGCTGTTTTGTTGATTATTTAGCTCTGAATTTTGCAAATAATATGAACATTAAAAATAGATGAAGCTACAATCAGATAAGAGACTAAGCTTCATCTAAAGCATGAGAAACATGATACACAAAAATAACTTTGGCTTTTTCACATTAATTCCCTCATTTCCACCAGTTCTGATCTGGTTACTAATGGCAACGGATCTCTACTTGTTGGCTGTTATGCAATCAAACACAAGCGTGGGCTCCTCTTTAAATGCACAGAGATAGAGAGAGATAGAGAGAGAGAAAAAGAGAGAGCATGTGAGTTCTCACTTTAGTGCGAGTGTGTGTGGGAGTGACGTCTTACTGGACTCTGCAGAATCTGTGTGACTCTCTTTCTCTGCTCCATCATGTTGAAGTCCTGCCTCAGGTCGGGTGACAAAGCGCAGCCCCTCAAAGACTCCGGGGACTGGACCTCTTCTGCGTTTTCGCTGTAGAACTTCTTCACATTTAGACTGGATGGGGGGCGGGTTCGAAAACCACCCTCTTCATCGATCGTGTTCATCTTAACAATCTCAGTTTCACTCATACATAAACACAACCTTCTGCCTTAGAGAGAGAGAGAGAGAGAGAGAGAGAGAGAGCGAGAGAGAGAGAAAAGAGGGGTGGGCTGAGCGTTTTTCGGATCCACTTGAAGCTGTGTTCACAATTACTGCTTGAATACAAAAAGGTCAGGGCACTTTGGATTACAAATGAATTCTGTAAACACACACATACATAAACTATCTCACACACCTGCATGTCTGCTCTCCAGCTGACATCCTATGTAACTCATGCATATCTGCACGCACCCTGCAGAGAACAATTCTCACCTTTTTTACCCTGATGGCCCCTAAATCACTCCACCACCCCTTAACATCTCATCTTTTTATATCTCAATAGGTTTTAACTGAGCTTAGACCTCTAGAACATTTTGTAACATCTGCAAGAGTGGCACCCAGATGGCAAAGGTACAATCTAGCCAGTTAATTATAAATTAACGATTAAAATTGTAGATGACATGTTCAAATTCTTCAGTCATGTCGATGTGTCTGCCATCCTGAAACAGTCAACATTGCCACTCGCTGTAAAATGCAGGTTTCCAGGATTATACAACATGCTGGTTGTGACACCAGGATGAGTTAAATTCCCAAATGAACTGGATAGTCCTTTACATGAGAGAATGAGTTGGTTTGTGTTTTTTGTACACCTCTAAACATTTTTGTTTTTATGTTTTGTTAACCAACACCTTCAATTTGAACTGTATGGTTGCTAGCTTTACAAAGTCAACAGCTGAGCTTTGTAGGTTGCAGATTTACAGAAAATAATTCTCTAGTGTCAGTGGACTGACTTTGCCTATTTCAATATGATGGATGACTTAATGGTATATTTATTGTTTTGAATCTATGTCAATAGCCCCTTTCACACAGCGATACTGGTAAATATCTGGAAAATTACTGGAACTACTTTACTGGTAAATTCAAAAAAGCGCTGTTCACACAGGCATGAACATTCTGGAATTTTTCCAGAAAAGACCATTACCGCATTCATTCCAAAATACCTGTAAATTTTGACATCATTAACCTAAAATGACCTCTAAACAGCTGCGCCTGTATTTGTAAACGTAAGTGGTCTGGCTTTTTTTGATGGTTAATGATGGTAACATTACATAATCACTGGCTGCTTCACATGCATGCATTAAGCAACTGAAGCAGAGCTTGAAGGTAAACAAACACCGGTTTATAAGCATATTAATAATAATATAATAATAATATTTAATAATCATTTTATCAATATTTTTTTTCTTAGTTGACATTAAGAAGGAACAAAGAAACGTTATTTGACTAACATCTAGCAGCTAAATGTGTATGGAAAAATATTCAAAGGCTTTTATTTTCATAAACAGTGTGAATGTGAATGTGTCTGAATGTTCTGATTGACTGGCTACTCTAGACGTCTCACATCAGCGTGTTCTAATCGTGAACGCACTCTGACCGGCAATTTTCCTTCTGCGTTCACATAGTGCAGCACTCCACCAAATTAGCGGTAATGTTACAACTTTTCTTTCTGGAAAATTGCCAGAACGAATTTACTATACTTTCTAAAAGGGCCTGTTCACACATGATCCCTTTCTAGAAAAGTGCCGGTAATTTCCCAGAAATGTCTGCGTGTGTGAAAGGGGCTTATGTCTGTAAAGAAACAATTCACCTAAAATGAAAATGTATGTATTTACTCTCTCTTTCAAGTGGGTATACATTTTATTTAGTTTCTTTGACCTTTTGAACACAAAGAACATATATATAAATGCTATGGAAGTCAATGGTTAATATTCTTCAAAATATCTTATTTTGTGTTCAACAGAAGAAACTCAAACAGGTTTGGAACAAGTAAAGGGTGAGTACATGACGACAGAATTTTCAGTTTTGTGTGAACTATCCCCTTAAGTGTCTAAACAATCCAACTGAAAATGAATTCCCTAATGGCTTTACACTGGAAATACGTATTCAAATAATTTACATTTAATAAATGCTTATAGATTTCACATAACAACACAAATACTGCAAGTATTGAAATCAAGTAAGTTAAATCTTTTGCATTAAAAATAGCGTGTTTCCCTCCTTATTGCGCATCTTGTGAACATTGCGAGTACATTTGCTGTTATAAAACTTAAGTTGTCAATCTAGAGAGAATTTATAGGCACAATTGGTTCGCGCAGCATCATATTTCTGCGCGCATAATTTTGGAATATAAACAGGCGCACGAATAATGTTTGGGCTTCAAAGACGCACGAGTTTTTTCATTGCGCGCATACAGGCTCGCTCCATATCAGTTTGCAAAAACTGCGCATGCATTAAACTCCCCGAAATGGTGTTTGAGACTTCACCAGATTTTGTTGTAGGCTACAAACATTGTGCTGCTGCTTCGTTATGCAACGTTAAACATTTAACTCACCAACTCCCCATCCGTAAAGATAAGAATTCTCCAATACACTTTTGTTTACCATTTTTGATACATTTTATAGTCATTAATAATTGAAAAACGTCTACGTTGTTTCACTTTACCAAACATTTTGCGTCCCTTTAAAATAACATTTAGAAAGAAACAGTCTAGTAGTTTAGAATAAAAAAGCAAATAAATATAGGTTACTCACTTTCCTCTTCCTCAGCTTAAGTTTATTTCCCAAACTGCAGCAGAAAACATAACTCTCCGCATCAGCTTCACAAAGGACAACTTAACAGCACATCAGATGCCTGCAAGAATATTTTCCCTCAAGTCGCAGTTTCTTGGTTTTAGAGCCCCAACACTCTGTGTAGCAAGTATCAGGGACGTGAGCGCACAGCGAAAGCGGGAGCGCGCGTGGATGTGTGATGAGTGTTTTGCGTGGGAACTTGGAGGGAGATCACGTGACCAGTGCTGTCCGCCCACTAATGCTTGCGCCTTGGCAGGACCAGCACGACCTCCTTGAGCCTATATCTTCCAAATACACGGAGAGAGTTTATACAAACGCCAAGATACGAGCCAGATGTTAGACATCAAACACATTGATACTGGGCTGTTTGGCCATTTTATTGCAGCTTTACACTTAAACATCTATAAATAACGGACATGTATATCTAATATTTCATACTGCCCATTAAAAGCCTATAATATTTATGTCGCACATTTGCACTGGTCGTGGGGGTTTGGTTTTATTTACGAGACTGATTGCATATTTTTGAGTGTGAGTGAATATTTAATGAATATTTACATCAATCGCTACGGGTAAACTATGCACAGGTAGTTGATTGAAATCTTCAATCAATTAAAGTAAAATATAGTTAAATAGTAAAAATAGTCAACATTGTACTGAAACTACTTTTGATCTAACATAAATGTATAAGAGAGAAGAATAAAAAGAGAAGACCCCCCCCCCCCCCCCCCCCCCCACACACACACACACGCACATATCTTAGTCAAACTGCTGTGAACTTGAGTTTAGCCTTCTGATTCTGACATCTAATGACTGGTTCTGTTCTTTTTCATCCAGCATGCATTGTTCTAACAGTAAACCATTTAACCCTTTGTACACCAACACTCTGTGACCATCCTGACCCTTTTTTGTGTTTGAATGTGGATAATTACTCTAATTACTTTAGTACCTGTATTTGAACAAGCATAAAAATGAATGGTTATTCTTCAAATTACATCTCACATACAAATGTCGGTTTTTCTTGGCAGATACAAGAGTGTTAGATTAAATTTAAATATTGTGTTCAATAATGTCCCAAAAAGATGCATAAAGAAAATATCTACTTTTATGTGTACAGTAAAAAAGTCTTATGCGATCATATGTTTGGCAGTTATCTTTAGATTTGCTCTAAAATAAATTATGAAATATTCTTTAAAAATATTTTTGGATCGAAATCTTTGAGAAATGTTCCTAGCATCTGTTTGGTTTTCTTCACTCAAAAAAGAACTCATTGGATGAACTCAATTTAATTAAGGGCAGGTTTTACAACCAATGAATTTTAGCACCAACTAAAAGAAAAACTATTTACACAATTAAATGCAATTGAGTTGGTCCAACGTGATTTTATCAAATAAAAGTTTAAAAACATCTGTATTTAACTTAAACTCAAAGGTCTGATAATATCATGAATGTCTACTATGTGTCGTACAGTTTAAAGTCCCTTAGTTTTATTTGAAGTTATCCTAGATAAACTATTTTTGAGCTATTTTTAACCCTTTAACATGCACTACTTGGGAAACAATTGTTTTGGTTTTGGATTGAGATCTGGTAAATGTGGAGGACATTTGAGTTTAGTGAACGGACTGTCATGTTTAAGAAACCAATCTGATGATTTGAGGTTGGTGATGTGAGTAATTCCCTCTGGAAGAAACCATGACAAGAAGGGTTCACTAGTCCTAAAGGGATGTACAGGGCCAGCAATAATTCTCAGACAGGCTGTGGAATATAAACAATGCTCAGTTGTCTCCCAAAAGTGTGACTAGAACATATCCATCACACCATAGCCAACCTAAACTGTCAAAATAATGCAGGATTAACTCATGCTTTATGAGATTTACAAAAAAATATGATTATTTAAAAAATTTAAATTTAAATTTAAAAAAATCTATTTATAACTTTACAATAAATTCTTACCCTACAATCTGGGATCTAGAACTCATCCGAACATCTCTCATCATAGTCAGGACCACCAACCATGCCATGTTCAAGGCCACCTAAATCTCATTTCTTTCTTATCTTTATGCGCAGTTTGAAATTCAGCAATGCTTTTGGTGACGCGGTGGTGCAGTGGTTAGCGATGTCGCCCCACAGCAAGAAGGTCGCTGGTTCAAGCCACGGCTGGCCCAGTTGCCGTTTCTGTGTGGAGTTTGCATGTTCTCCCTGTGGTTGCATGGGTTTCCTCTGGGTGAAGTCCAAAGATGTGGTATAGGTGAATTGGGTAAGCTAAATTGTCCACAGTGTATGTGTGTGAGTGAGTGTGTGTGTATGGATGTTTCCCAGTATTGGGTTGCAGCTGGAAGGGCATCCGCTGCATAAAACATATGCTGGATAGGATGGCGATTCATTCTGCTGTGGCGACCCCAGATTAATGAAGGGACTAAGCCAAAAAGAAAATGAATGAATGGATGATTTCAATGTAAGAATAATTCTGCTGAAGACTGAAATATGATTATGAATAAGGTGCAACTTGAACATTCAAAACATATTATGTAATTTTTTTAAATTCTTTTTTCCTTATTGTTTTTTTCACCTACACGTTTTGTTTTCCAAGACACTGCTAGCTGCAGAGCCATTTGAGCTCCAGCTAGGGGGAGTTTGAGCTCTAACTCCTCCTCCTTTAAGCTGTTTTAATGCATACACCCACCCCACCACTAATCCCAAACCCCAGTGACATCACTTGTAGAAGAAGTGCAAGGAAGGAGGAGCTGGAGCTTAAGCTCCTCCTTGCTGGAGCTCAGCTCTGTCCAAGTAGCTCTGCAGTGAGCACAACTTGGGGGTTCTCCCCTCATTTCGAATTTAGTGTTGTGTTTTTAGGGTGACGGATATACATTACCGGTCAAAGGTTTGGGGTCAGTTTTATTTTTTTAATTCATTTTTTTTTAAAGAAAATGTTTCTGTTATGTGTGACAGTTTTTTCCAACAGCATACACACAAAATCTTTTTTTTTTCACACAATTTCTGAAACATCTCATTCAACATGCAAAATTAATCTTTCAATTGAAAATAATACTTTTTTTCAAAACACTACACACATTTCTCTACCTTAAACACAAACATCTAACAGGAAGCTACTTGCATTACTTTTTCCAAACACAATCAATCAAAATGCTATACTCATCCACCAGACCACACACTTCTCACATCTGCAAATGCTAAATTCTTAACTTATCACTAACCAATCACTGATTTACTGTAGTATAGGCCTGTAAATAGGACAAATAGGTGTTCAGATAGGTCCAAAAGAATCTAGTTTGCTACCCATCCACAATTTGTAGCTTTCACCTGCCCTCATATTCACCTTTTCTAAATGCTAAATTCCCTTAGAAAAGGAATCTGGCTTTGTAAAGTGTATGATAACCAATCCTACACCCACATGGCACTTCTCCAAGAAATGGATGCTTCTCCCCCCTGAGACCCCACACACACAATTTCTTTACTGTATTCTGGAGAACATACCTTTGCTTTAAATCTGTTTTCCTTTTACATTTTTACATACAGTATGTTTATGGGTTTGTTGTATGCTACTGTATGCAACTGTAATGTTTGGCCTAATAAATAATTTCTGTTTCTTCATTGCATTGGTGTTTACACCTGTTTCCCCTCTCAGCAGATTACAGTCACTGTTGAACAGTGGTCACCAAACTTGTTCCTGGAGGGCCGGTGCCCTACAGATTTTAGCTCCAACTCTAATCAAACACACCTGAACAAGCTAATCAAGGTCTTACTAGGTATACTTGAAACATCCAGACAGGTATGTTGAGGCAGGTTGGAGCTAAACCCTGCAGGGACACCGGCCCTCCAGGACTTGGTGACCCCTGCTGTAGAACATTGTATTGAAATGAACATATAAGACTAAAGAGCAAAGAGCTTTAGGTTTAGAACAGCAGTGTTGGCATGCTTTATCCAAAAGTCTTATATTCTGAAAGTTGTGTTTGCTATTTAATGCAAATGTTTCTTTCTGACGTGTGTTTATGGCATTCTGAACACAGTGCTACATTTTGAAGGAAATGTGAGGTATTCTGCATTTTGTGTGTGCAGTTTTGAGAATTGTGTGTAAAGTTGGGAAAAAAGGGACTCTGTTTTGAAAACATGTGTAAGCAGTTTTAAAAAGTCATTGCTTGTATAAATGTTAATAATATTGATAATAATAGTTAATATAAGTGTGATTTTTGAAGGATTATGCGACTCTAAAGACTATAGTAAAGAAGCTGAAAAATCATCTTTAAAATCCCTGGAATAAATGATTGAATTAAATTATAAACTACTTTTGAACAGTTATTTTAAGGTGCAATAACAATTCAAAATTTTACAACTTGTTTTGTGTTTTTGATTAAATAAATGCAGCCTTGGTGAGCAGAAGAATCTTATTTTAAAATATTCAAAAATCTCACCGACCCGATACTCTTGGACTTTTGAACGGTAGTGTACCTGTAAACATTTCACCAGAAAATTTTAATTTTAATATTGACATTGGTTTAAAATTGTGTGCAGTAATACATGAATGCAAAAACCCAATTGCACAATATGGTTTTAAGTAAAAAAGTAGACTGACTTTATAGTCAGTCCCATGTGCATATCGTTCCACCTCTGACCTTTTGAAAATGGCAAATACAATTTAGCCACAACTATTTTGTGTACCATTACACGCATGACCTCAGTCCTGAACTCCTATCATTATTGCTGCTCTATATATGTGTGTTTAACATTTGTTGAATAGATCTGGAGGGGGGCTGCTTCAATATCTTAAAGTTTCCAGATGTCACAGAACAGTAAATAACCAAAGTGTACATTTTAAAAGACAGAAGAGAGAGAGTAAAAGTCTCATGTCTCAAGTTAGGCACATCTGGCCAATTTCCCATGAGGATCTTGCATAACCGCTGGGCTGTTTATTCTTGAGGCACACACACAGTGTTGACTCCAGTCTTCCCATTTATTTCAGTGTAATTCAGTTGATCTGTTTTGGAGATGGTTTTAATATCATCATGACATCTTATGACTGCAGTTAAGCTCTGCTCAAATTTTCAATGACACTTTCTAATGTTGTTTTCCTGTGCATTACAGATCTTGGCATTTCTGTGTATTTCAGTGTTTTTTTTGGCAGGCAAAGTTATCATTTACATTTTTTGCATCAGTACTATCACCA